CCTAGGGGAGACTATTTGCTGCCATGGAACACAGGATTGGTCTATTCAAGGAAACATATGACTTGATCAAATGGGGTCCATCCAACAGGAAGGGAGCAGACAGAGATAGCAAACAATCTGTCCTCCACACAGCAATTCTCCGACTGTACTAATTGCTCTGCGTCCCTGATCTTGAGGTAGCCATTTTGCTTTGTCTGAGTACTAGCTTCAATATGGCAACCTGCTTCTAATCTCCATCTTTCCTAAACTGTCCCTCTGGATTTTCGTTCCAGACTGGTAACTTGACCCTGAATTTCTACTACTTGATTTAGGAGGCAGGCATGAGCCCCTCTTACACACACAAAGCAGGAAAATGGCCTGTAGTGTGAAAAGGATCATATCATAGTCACTATTACGTCAACGGCCAATCTGTAATTAACAGCTTCATATGAAATGCCTTTATGAAACACAGACATTTGGGAAAATGTCTTATTTCAAATATGCAACGTCCTGTCTCAGCCAGGCACATATATTTTAAAGAGCTGCTATGCAATTCATGTGTTTGGGACATGTGACTGATTAAAAATGGCAGCACTGTTGAGTTCTAGCTCTGTTCTTTTGCCAGTTTTGAAGCCCTATGAGAGGAGATGTAATAACGACTGTGACGAGTTAAACCAATGCTTATGTGTACTTGTCTGCTTTGCCTCCTTGAGTATGTCCAAGTCTGTACACAGAACCCAAGTCAGGCGTGCCTGTGGGCGAGCATTCTCAGTCCCGTAGACCTTGTGTGGCTTTCTATTTGGCACAATACCTTAACTACTACATAGTTCATGTATACACTTATTTTCGGTAGAACTGAACTTGGTAACAGTAAAACAGAATGCAAGGGGTTACTTAAGAAAATAAACCTTTATTTTTGAACTGTATCATTTCCTAAATTGTGTTTTCCCAAAATTTGTTTTTTAATTATATTCTATATGAGTAGGTGTTTTGCCTGCATGTATGTCTTTACACCATGTTCTGTGTGCCTGGTGTCCTTGGTAGCAGGAAGAGGGTGTCAGATCCCTTGAAACGGTAGTTACAGATGGTTGTGAGCAACCAGGTGGGTGCTAGGAATTGAACCAAGGACTCTTGAAAGAGCAGCAAGTGCTCTGAACCTCTGAGCCATCTCTTTAGTCCCTTATTCTCTGGGCTTTATTTTTTTTTTAATTGAAACTTCATCTGATATATTTTATTTCTATTTACTCAATATTTAAAAACCCAAATAATTTAACTTTAGAAAATAAATAACCCTATTCAATAAAAGACAGTAGTCAAAGGATATTGGCTGAATTAAGTCTTCCACCATCTAATTACCTTCCCTGGGTGGAGGTAGGGCTTGTGGGGCGTGGGGCTTAGTGGCAGAGCCTGTGTTCAGTGTACACACAAAGCCCAAGTTCCATCCCTCATATCACAAACTCCAAAACAAAATAAAATAAAAGTAATGAATTTGCTTTTGGCAGAAGCTGATTTCAATATGGCCGTCTGTTTCTTCTCAGCTACTTTGGTTCCAGGGGCATGGACTCCAACCAGAGGGCCAGAGACCCTGGCAGCCCATCTGCCTGTCGGCACAGGTGTCTGAACTGCAGTAAGGTCTAAGTTGGAAACAGGAATGAAGTTCAGTTGCTGGCTTCTGATCAGCCTGTTGGGGAAGTCGGTTGTCCCTTCTCTACTGGACTTGGTGTTAGAACAATATAAGGTGGGACGATCAAAGGACAACGAGTGAAGTTATCACTCAAGGATAGAACATGAGTGCCATAAAGACCGGAAATGAGTCTGTTCGGTCTACTGACGGATTTCAGCTCCTACAGCACTTGTTGCATGGTGGGTGAAGCTGGTGATATTTGTTAAACGAGTCACTGGGGGGAGGGGGAGAAAGAAACACACACAGAGACGCACGCACACACACACACACATACACACACACACACACACACACACACACACACACACACACACACACACACACACACGGGGTGGAGTGGGGGAGTATCAAGAGTCCTGATAACATGATTTGAACTGCGGATGCTGTGGTACTTGACACCAAGCTATCCCTGGCTTTTTAACCGTACAAACTGATACTTTTCTCCCCCAGTACAGGGGATTGAAACAAGGCCTAAGGAACGATGCACCAGCACTCTACCGCTAAACTGTACCACCAGCCTGTCCCCCTTTTTTTCCTTGGTTGGTTTGGTTTTGGTCCTTACCTGTTTTGTTTTCTGTAGTTTTGGGTTTTTACTGATGTTTGGTTTTTTTGTTTGGGGGTTTTTGGTTTGTTTGAGTGAGGATTGTCTTAATTTTCTCAGGCTAGCCTCAAACTCACTCTTGGCCTCCTGAATCTGGAGCTCACTGATTCTGCTGGGTTTGCTGGCCAGCAAGCCCCAGGCATCCTCCTGCCCCTGTCTCCCCAGTGCTGGGATTACTGCTATGCCTGCCTGCCTTTGTCTGTAGGTGCTGGGGGTCAAACTCAGGTCCTCACATTGTGTGACTGGCACGCCACCGACTGAACCTCACTCAGCCCACTACTGAAACTTACACAAGCCAAATAAAGTCTTCTTTCCTTAACTAGGCTTTGTGTGGGGGTTGGTTGCAGGAACAAGAAAGGTCACTAATACAGAGACTGACCTCTTGCTGCCAGGACTAAGCCTGTTTACACGCCCGGCATGCCCTGGGCACGTGGTAATATGTGTGTTTACACAAATAAATAGTCTGAGTTACAGCTTAAACTATTACAATCATACTCAGACTTGGCATGTACCCCCAAGACAAGGACACACTTAACACTCTGGAGTAAACCAGAAACTCGGGTTGTCAGGACTGCATCTAGCATTCACATGCTTTGTTCCTAACTCGTGCATATGGCTTCCTGTGCATATCTGATATATGGTGGTACAAAAGGCTCTTGGTGTGCCCTCATTCTTGAAGCATCCGTCTTTCTCCCCATACACACACTGGTTTCTCCTTTTGCTCTTGCTATTTTCTAAACTTCCCAGGCAGTATCTTCAGTTAGCTCAATCAGCTCTTGCCTTCTAGACTGTTAGTTACACTCTCAACTAAAAGGAAAGATACAGGTGAGCTGGACTTACTTAGTGGCCAAGTCAGTAGGTAAGTACCTGCTGTAATACTATGCAATGCATTTAACTTCAACTATTTCTAATTTTGCTGCAAAGGAAACCCTTGTTTATACATTCCTGCATATTTATCAGATCATTTCCTCTGGCCAAACATGTTGAAGAATCTTGACTCATAAATATAATTTTTTTTTTTAACCAAAAAGGTGGATTAAGTTTACACAACAGCAGTGGGCTGTGAGCACGCATAGGCCTCTGTTCTCTCAGCTCGCGTGACATTGCAGTTTTTACTATTCTCTGGTGGGTTAGACACTGAGCTTTCATTTCCAATATTTCGTGTTTCGAGAACTTTTACTTTTCCAGTTCCCTTAAAATCTTTAACTCCATTGGCTGCAATTTATGAAGCCTTTCTGTTATGGTATAATCTTTTTGTACACTGTGAAGATATGTCTTTGCCAAGGCACCTTATGATTGGTTTCATTAATAAAAGGCTGACTGGCCAGTAACTAGGCAGGAGGTATAGGCAGGGCAGTAAGACACAGAGGACACTGGGAAGAAGGGTGGAGGTTCCGGAGTCCCTAGAGATACAGAAAGAAGGAAGATGAATGTGCCTTGTTGAAAGAAGGTACAGCCACATGGCAGAGGGTAGATAATAAATATGGGTTAATTTAGAATATAAGAGTTAGCTAGTAACAAGCCTGAGCTATTGACCTAGCGTTTACAATTAATATTAAGTTTCTGAGTGATTTTCTGGGAATGGCTGCCAAGACATAGAGAAACTCCACCTACACTTTTTTTTAAGGTCTATACACTTCTGAAGTTTATGAAGCTCCCTTTAACTGCTTTTAAGTACACTGATTTGCACATGGCCCCTACCATATGAATTTCAGTTCATAGATTATATTTTAGTCATTTCAGTTCTTTTTACTGTCTCATTTAGAATTTTGCACAAAGAATATGTTCAATTAATTTCTTATTTAGATGTATTTTAATTAGATTGTGTCTCTTAGTTTACTTTCTGTGGCTGTCACAAAATTTGTGAGATGAGTGGTTTTTTAAGAAAATAAATCATATTTCACAGTTTTGAAGGCTGAGAAGGCCACAATCAAGATATTGACAGGTCTAGTGTCTGGGGATGTAATAGTCTCTATTTGCATGATAGAATATTGGACCCTGTGGCCCCTGGAGAGGAGGAATTTGTCTTCATATGTAGAAGAATGGAAGAACAAAGAGGTGGGGTGAGGGTAGGGACATTAATCTCACCTGAAGGCAAAATCTTCATAGTCAAATCATCCCTTAAAAGCTCCATTTCTTAATAGTGTTAGAAAGTCAATCAAGGTGGTGGTGGTGCTCACCTTTAATCCCAACATTCAGAAGGCAGAGGCAGGTGGATCTCTGAGAGTTCGAGGCCAGCCTGGTCTACAGAGCAAATTCCAGGATAGCCAGGGCTACACAGAGAAACCCTGTCTTGAAAACCAAACAAACAAACAAAAAATAATGATAATAAGAATAAAATAAAAAAGAAAGTCAATCAAATCTTAGCATAAACTTTTGAGGGCTCAAACATTCAAACTATAATAGACTGTGAAAGATGGAAATACCCAGAATCGTCTCTCTAAGATTCACTGACTTTTATAGTGATTTCTATGACAGCCAAAGATATGAATGTCTGCTCTAACTGAAGTTCGACCTTTAAGTGAAAGCAGCTGATTCATTAAAACCTGTCTAATCTCTTCAACAAAATTCGAACCTCCCCACCCCCACTCCCAGTGTAGAGTCCCTCTGTATTCATTGGGTATTGGTTCCGTGAATGATGTAGAATTTGCATATTACCTCTTCACACCCTTGTACATTGAATCATCTCTAAGTTACTTATAACAATATAAATGCTATACAAGTAAGTAGTTTTTATTAGGGAATAATGTCAAGAACAAAGACTTAAAATATGGATTAAATGAATGCAATAGGCTTTAGATTTTTATGTTCAATTTATGTAGGCAGAGTTTTCGTGTTCTGCAGCTTCTCTCAAATCAAACACTGAGGCTTATATTAATTACAAATGATTGGTCAATAGTTCAGGTTTATTACTAACTAGCTCCCACATTTTAAGTTAACCCATATTCCTTATGTATGCTCTGCTATGTGGCAGTACCTTTATTAGAATGGCACATTCATCTCCTGCTCCCTCTGCATCTACTGGCAACTCCTGACTCTGCCCTTCTTCATCCCAGCATCCTTAGTGTGGTCATCCCACCTATACCACCTGACTGACTATCGGCCAATCAGCTTTTTATTAAGCCAATCATAGAGACATATATTCACACAGTGTAAAGGAATATTCCACAGCATTTCCCCCATTTTATATAAATAAAAAGGAAGGTTTTAACTTTAACATAATAAAATGATATGCAACAAAAACAGTTATCAAGTAAGAATTACAGTTACAATATCTAGTCCATTTCTATTTGGCAAAATTAGAGAAAATACTCTATTATCTATCTTATCTTTGTGAGTTCAAAGTTTTGTACCTAAATTACCATCAATCATAACTAAGGAAAACTATACCTATCTATTTTTCAACTCCATCGAAGACCTCAGAAGGGTAAAATGTTACCAAATGACAAGGACATCAGACTGCCTGGACATTCACCCTAGGTTCTTGGCCTACAGGCCTAGCATATCTAACAGACTTTCCTGTGAATCAGGGAATTCTGAAGGACTGTCCTACCTTGTCTTAGCAAAGTTCAACAGTTGCCTTTCTTGCATCCTGCTAGTCCACTTTGGACAATAACTGTCAGTAATTGAGACAAGGGCAGTTTTTTGCCCAAATAATTAATTTTTGCTACAAAGAAAGCAAACTCCATATAGAATTTCTCCAGTGTCCATCATCCTCTTTTGAAACAATTTGGTGCTGTCAGAAGCAGACATGTTTCACTGTGAAAAGCTTTAGGTTATTAAACATATTAAATGCCATATTCTATAGGTCTTTGAAGTGTTTGAAGACCATCTATAAGTCTAAATATATCTGTTCATGACCTTGAACACATACCTAACATGACTATAAGTTAGACTATTACAGATGACTATTAATCTTTATTTCTTAATTATATATTACATGTTTAAATGAGCTGCATAAACATAATACCCTAAAGAACAGAAACATACATACTGTATAACAAAATTAAATTTAAATTTGTATCAATAAACCAAAATCCATACCAATATAAAATATTTTGAGATTAATAGTTGTTTAGGGGACTAAAATAGATTCAATAATCTACTCTTTTTCCCTATCATTCGTATATCATTACTACCCCCCCTTTTTTAGAAAGAGATCTTTGAATATAACTCTTTTGTTTAGATTTTTTTTTTTACTATTACCAATAACTTGTAACCAACACCCCTTAAATGATAACAAACATCCATAACCAATATTTTAGGAGTGTGGGCATGGTTCTCTAGACTACTTCCTGTTGTTTGGGGGCACTGACATCTTTGGGGGAACCTTGAGAAAATTGAGATAATAATTAAGTCCCAATTGGAGTAATCGGTGAGTCTGGACCCTCTCAGCCAGCAGCCTTGAAGCAGTTTTGGATGCCGGATCACTTGGACCATCCGTTTTCATTGGTGTCTGGTTCCTTTGCTCTGAAAATACATAAACTTTTAAAGGTAACATACATATCTGCATTAATACAAGTATAGACTATGCATTATACAAAAGTCAACCAAAGATGATTTTTGTTATGTGTTTGAGCAGGTAAAATATACAGCATGTGTCCTGTAGTTCTTTTAGGTCTATTTCTTTATGTCTGTAGTCAGAAATTTAGGGGATCTTCCTCAATCAAACCTGATTTTCTTTAACCTAAAATGAATCCACAGCTTCTCATTTTCTGTGTAAATAAAAGCATAGCTTCTCCCCTAAAGCAAGATAACTTTTGACTTAAATTGTGAAGTCAAGATATGTTTAAAATATATAGGCTTAATCCAGCAGCTTTAATCCAGTGTCTCTTAGTAGCCATTGCTCCTTCCTCAGCAATCAAAAAATTCAAAGACAACACAATAACATAGAATATCCAGACACTCTATGTATTTTCCATCTTTATGTGGCTTTTTTCTATATTACTTACTCCCCTTTTAAGGACTTTATTATTTTAAAACTATATATCTCTTTTTTTATGACTGTCTATAACTTCTCTTTTTTCTCTGAAGCCTATGTATATTTTTAAACACCCTGTAACTCGTTTTGAGGGGTTTTTTTTTTTCATCTGAATCTCTCTTTATTGCATATCTGTAATCTTTTCTGTCTGCATGAGCAAAATTTAAACTGCTGTGTAACTTAGATGATGGCATGCTGCCGGCTGACTCCTCCCCTTGGTTCCCTGAGAGGCTAGTCTATGGCAGAGGTGCATTTACTACCAGTTCTGGGAGCCATGTTTACCACCCCAACTGTGGGAAGTTTCTGGGGCCACCCCACCATCGAGTAGCATGCCACCCGCTGCTCATACACTCCATTTAAGTGTTTGGCAGAAGGGCCTCTGAAAAGAGCCATATGGTTTTGTCACTAGCACTTAGCCTCTCTTAAAAGAGTCACACCTCTGCTCACCCTCAGCAAACAGAACCCAACAGAGAAAATGATGATACCAAGAAGCTGTGCTTGGTTCTGTTTTGTGTGGATATAGTTGCCCAATGTTTGGATGCCATTTGTAGGCAGAGTTTTCTTGTCTCATAGCACTCTCAAATAAACACACTGAGGCTTATATTAATTATAAATGCTCAGCCAATAGCTCAGGCTTATTACTAACTAGCTCTTACATTTTAAGTTGACCTATATTTCTTATTTATGCTCTGCCAGGTGGCAGTACCTTTATTAGAATGGCACATTCATCTCCTGCTCCCTCTGCATCTGGTGGCAACTCCTGACTCCGCCCTTCTTCATCCCAGCATCCTTAGTGTGGTCACCCCACCTATACCTCCTGACTGACTATCGGCCAATCAGCTTTTTATTAAGCCAATCATAGAGACATATATTCACACAGTGTAAAGGAATATTCCACAGCACACTTAACTATATAGTTGTTTAACTAATATGTTAAATATATATATATATATATATAAAACACTTCAACATTTCTAAAAATATTCATCAGAAAAACTTAACTTATACATTTTCTTAATACTAAAAAATAACTTGATGCCAAGAGACTAAATACAATTTTTAAAAATATTTTTAAGTACATATTTGTGGTGTGTGCGTTTCTGTGCATGTGTATATGGAAACCTGAAGTAAAAGTTCAATGTCTTCCTCTATCACTCTCCACTTAATTGTTCTGAAGTAGGGTCTCTCACTGAACCCAGAGTTTACCACTCATCAAGATTATTTGGCCAACAAGCCCCAGGGATCTTCCTGTCTCCCCATCATGGGACTATAGGTACATGGCCATGCCCTGCTTTTTACGTGGATGTTGAGGACCCTTGGGTCCTCAAGTTTATGAAGCAAGTTCTTTACCAACTGAGCCATCTTCCCAGCCCCCTAGAGTATTTATGTATATGTTCATATAGTTGGTAGTGAATCATTTTGTTTTGAAATATTATTAAATGAGAGCCCGGATGGCATCTTAGAATAAAAGAACATGGTAGTATTGATCAAGATAGATGGACAGGCAGAATGGGTCATGACACAGAAGTAGCACTCAAGAATCACCACTTCTGAGCTGACCAGGGCATGTTCTGTAGCCTCTCTGGAACCTATGACTGATATAAAAATCAGTAAGTTAATGCACAGGAGGAATTTAGTTATGTGGGCTATAGAGATGGCTGACACAAAAGCATGAGGACCTGAGTTTGGATTCCCAACATCTATGTAAAAGATGTGCAGAGACAGAAAGATCCCTGGAGTTCACTGGCCAGTCAGCTTAGCTAATAAGTCAGCTCCAGGTTTAGTGAGAAATCCTGCTTCAAAAAATAAGGGGTAAGAGGCTTTGAGTTGGCTCAGTAGGTAAAGGCACTACTCACACACTCTGTCAGCACTGTAAACATTTGCAGGGGCAGAGGTGGACGATTTTATTGGGCAGTCATTATTGTAGCAGAAAAATAAAGTGGAAAAAAACTGAAATATTTATCAAGAAATCATGAACGCCAGTTGTAGAAAAGGATTCTGCAAGGAAAAGTTTCCATGTGACGAAGGACATCGTGTGTAATGTCAGGAAGAACTTTCCAGAGGGAGAAAGCAAAGAGACCCACCAGTGGGATGTCACCCTCCCAAAGCAGTGCTCAAAACTCAGCATCTCCCTGTGCTGTGGTCTGCACATCCTGTCTCATGACAGCTAGGAATTCACTATACTACAGTTATGTCATATTTACCACTCTCGGTCCTTAAAAGTAGCCCTGGAATTCTGCAAGTGTATTGTACTACGTGTTTGGGTCTGGGTGCTGTGTTTTATTTAACTGGCATGGACGGTTTCAAAAGATACTGCTCCACAATCATGCATGGTGGCTCACACATGTAATCTCAGCCCCTGGGAGGCTGAGGCAGGAGGATTGCTTGAGTGCAAGGTCAGCCTGGGCTACATGATGAGTTCTGGGCCAGCCTCACTGAGTGAGACCTGATTTCAAAATTAAACAAAACAAAACAAAACAAAACAGAATAATGCTTCTGTACTAAAAGGTAAATGCCTATAATCTCACACATCTGTAACAATAATATATAAATAATTCTAAATTACTCTCAACACACATTTAAATACTGAACAATATTTACATCTTTGCAAATGAGATATTTCTGCTACCAGAACTCTCTGGTAATAAAAATGATAGAGGTGTTTGTTGGTGATGAAAATTACCTATGATCACCTACATTTTTCTCCATTAAAAAAAATTATGTAACTTGAGGTTTGAACTAAGAGTCCACTGGAATGTTTTGGCATAAAGCTGACGGCACACATCAACAGGGTTGAGATTTGTGTTCCTGGAAACATCAAAGGTTTTCAGCAACAGTGTGGCCTGGAATGCCAGGGATACGCAAAACGAAAGTAGCTGAACTTAGATATGCATTAACCTAAGATGCTTTAACTAGGCTAGACATCTTAAAGGAACTGACAGTCCTGCAAGATTTCCAGGACTTCCTGTGTTCAGTGAGCCACTCTGAGTAATTTCTGTACTTCCACTTCCTGTCCAGTGCTGCTAAGCAGCAAATTTTGAGTTTACAAATATTTAAAGAAACTCAAAGTGTGCGTAAGTTCTTAGTATTCCACAGACTAAACTGGAGTTACAGATGGCTGTGAGCGACCATGTGGGTGCTGGGAATTGAACTCAGGTCCTCTGTAAGAGCAGCCAGTGCTTCTAACCACCAAGCCATGTCTCCAGCCCAAGTTAAATTTCTTTAGAGATTTCTGTGACTTTTGTTACATTTTCTCTTGGGTACAGAATTTTTGCTTTACCTCAAAGATGACGATCACCACCACCCTTGATTTCTCTAGCAGAATATGGAAAAGCAAAAAAACAAAAAACAAAAACAAAACAAACAAACGAAAACCCACTCTTCCCTGAAGAATAATTATAATGACAATTACAGTGACAGTTTTCTCTGTGTGTGGCATATAGATGTGTTTGCATGTGCCTGTCCCTAAGTGGGCCTGTGTACGCAGAGGTTGACACTGGGTGTTTTTCACTATTACTCTCCACCTTATTTTTTTAATCAGGGTCTCTCATTGACCCCAGGGCTCACCAATTGCCTAGACTGCCTGGCCAGTGAGCTCCCAGGATCCTCGTTTCGGTCTCCATCTCCTGGGACTAGGATTACAGGCAGTAAGCCCCCAGGATCCTCGTGTCTCTGTTTCCAGGTATTAAGATTACAGGCACATGCTACCAGGGCTGACTTTTTATAGGAGAGCTCAGGAGCAGAAGCCAGATCCTCACATTTGAACATAAGCACTTTACTCGATGAGCCTTCTTCCAGCCCCCACAAAAATAACAGCAGCAGTGCCTGCCACCAGATTCTGCTCCTGACATCAGCTGTCTCAGCCCTAACCTCAGACTGGAATTCACCTGACCTGGGAATTTGCAAGCTTCTCTATAAATGTTCCCAAACTGAAATTCTGGAAGTTGCCGGCAGTCTGTGCCAGACTAGCTCTCAGAGGATTCTGGTGGTGATAAAGTTTAAGAATCTTCCTCAAAATAGGAAATCGGTGCGATTCTCCTCGGTTTTGTTTTCTTTTGTTTCATTGGCAGGGTCTCACTGTGTAACCGGGAAGACCTGGAACTCACTATATAGACCAGGCTGGCCTCGAACTCACAGAGACCCACCTGCTTCTGCTGCCTCAGTTCTGAGATGAAAAGCGTGTGCTACTACACTTGGCTTATTATACCCCTTTTATAAAGAAAGAACAAGACTCAGAGAAACTAAAATGGCTTTAGATGATTAGGCCAGTAAGAGCAGAAGGATGGCTTGAACCAGCTTCTTGTGACTCTTTCTTTCCACTTCATTGAAGTTACCTTCTGAAATAACTCCAAGGGTTTGTCACAGATGCGTGCTTCTCCATAATACCTGGGATGCTTTACACAGTGGTCCCACAGAACAGAGATGTGCCTAGGGTAGTGACAGAATATAGCCCTCTTGTGGATTTCCTGCACGCTTACTTTTAATTTAATCATGGTAATGTGTCACAGAGTGAAACAAAACACAAAAGTCAACTTGGCTCCAAACCTCTTCATCCGAAGATCTTCATGTAGTTTCCCTGAAACTCCTACAGCAGAAAAGCGCAAACACCTCAATGCCCACCAGAAGGGTGTGGTTAATCAAAATTCACAGCCAAAATATATCTTCACCATGTCCATATTAGTTTATATTTATTATGTTTTATGTAATTATAAACTTGTAAACATTCCATCCTCTATAATCAATTATGGATTCATTCCAAAGAAGCTTCTTCTAAGTTAGCCTCAACTACCTCAACATAAACGGCCTGAATTCATCTCACTGGGTGGGGCTGAGTTTTCCTTCATAACTTGAAGCACTGTTTCTGGATTCTAGTGCATTAGGAGTGCACAGGAAGCTGCTCTCAGGTCTACCTTTCAGGATTT